GTGTTAATGAAGGAAAGTCTTTAACATATGCTCCTAATCTCTCTCGTTCTTGTCGCAAGCAGTGTCTTGATTGATATGCAGAGCATGCATTTTCATTTCTTTCACGTTCTCGTCGTGCACGTTGAGCTAATACAGCTCTTGATATAACATAACCATTGGGTCCCTAAAATATGAATATTAAATCGTTGAATGCTTAAAATGCAAATATTATCAAGTGTCATTTTTCACTGTCCAAAGAAAATACCAAGAATTTTTTGAAAATGTATTATACTCTTGCCCATGACTACCCATAGTTTTATAATAATAATAATCTATATAATAAATTGTGTGGTTTTGTAACAGTAATGAACAAATGTTCGATTAGCAGATGAGCTTCATAAAGTATCCCCATTTTATTGTAGGGCCCATGCACTTATAGGAGACACTATATATTCCTTTCTCACTATATATTCCTTCATAAAGTATCCTCTATATATTTCTTTCTTCCTAAGAATATACAGGAGACACCAAAAAATGTGTATAGTTTCAAAAATAAAATACAATTATGGCTAAATAAAATACAATATATGAAGATATAAAAATAAAAAATAAAAAAAACTGTACAAAATCCATAACAACCATACCGCTAAACATGCATTTTCCTTTCGCTTGCCCTTGCAATCAGTGACCCTTAATTTAACGGATTGTGTCATTTTAGTCCAATACATAATCTTTATTAAGTTTAGTGGACAGAAAGTCAAACTATGTGTCAATTTGGTTCTTGTAGTTTACACAATGTGCTAATTTAGTTCCTATCAAAACCGAGCAAATTAAAATAACAGGGACTAAATTGACACATTGTGTAGACTATATGGACCAAACTTACATATTGTGTAGACTTTCCGTCTACCAAACTTGACAACCGTTATTTATTGAACTAAAATGACACAATCTGTTAAATTAAGGGGCAAAATCAAGCAAATTGAAACAAATAAATTGACACATCGTGTAAAGTATAGGGACCCTTTGCATAATTTACCCAATAAATTTATTATTATTATTTTTTTAAAATTTGAATAGCACTTCTCTATATTTATAGATGTAAAATAAGTTGTCAAAATGATACCTCTCACAAGGGGACTAAAAATAAAAATAAAAAATAGCATAATTTCATACTTTTTGAGTTATAACTATACATAAAAATAAAAAAAACATCAAAATCAAACAAAGAAATTTTTTGTAAAGAAGGTCATTACTAAAGATGAAAATTGGTCATAACTAAAAAAAAAAATGACATAACTCAAAATTGTCATTTATAATCTGTATAATAAATTGTATGGTTTTGTTATACAAACAAACAAATGTTCAGCAAACTTATGAACTTCATAAAGTATCCCCATTCACATAGCTGGGAAAAAAAAAAAAAAAAATTTTGCCCATTTTCTCTCTCCTCTCTTTATCTCTTATCTCAAAATTTTCGCCCACTTACATTGAAAAGTGGTGCAGATTTACACATATATACAGGAGACACTTAAAAAAGTGCACAGTTTAAACCATAAAAATACAATTATGGTTTAAAATAAATAATTATACATGCATTTTCAAAAACACTCTACAATTATGGCTTAAAATACAAACATAGGAAAACTAACAATTTAAAAAAAAAAAAAAAAAAAAAGACTTTACAAAAACCATTAAGAACTATACCGCTGGACA